CGACTTTCCCTTCCCGTCCCAGCTTTCCTCCCTCACCCTCCCAGTAGTTGCTGCTGCTGCTCCCTCCCGCGGCCGCCATCTTTGTTGTCCGACGTCAGCCCTCTTCGGCTTGCGCGCCGAACTATAGAGAGGACGGGGACCAGAGCGCCTCTCCGCCCCGTACTTCCGGCCTCGGAGGCATGAGAGAGCCGGAGAGACCAAGCCGGCTCTTCGAATGTCTTGTAGCGCCCCCCCTGGCCGCAAAGCTCAGGCCGGAGAATGCAGGCCGAAAGGGCCGCTACTATACCGCTTTGCCCTTCAGCTGGTTTAAAGGGAGAAAAAAAAACCATGAGGGGTGATGGATCAGACTGTGTCTTAGGGGTGCCAGGTCTGGAAAATACCTGGAGACTTTGGGGGTGGAGCCAGGAGAGGGCAGGGTTTGAGGAGGGCAGGGGCCTCAGCGTGGTACAATGCCCTAGAGTCCAAAGCAGCCATTTTCTCCAGGGGAGCTGATCTCTGTCAGCTGGAGATCAGTTGTAAAAGCGGGAGATTCCCCAGGCCCCATCTGGAGGCTGGCAACCCTGCTGTGTCTGTTGTGCCATCAGCTACACATGCCCAACAAGGCACACGAGCAGGGAAACGGAAATGCGGGAGTCCTCTTGTTTTCGCTGAACATTGGGAGACCCTCCTTGGGACTGCCAACCTCCAGATGGGTCCTGGATCCCCCAGAATTACAATTTATCTCCGGCCATCAGTTCCCCTGGAGAAAATGACTGCTTTGGAGGATGGACTCTAGTCTAAGGTGTTATATGCCACTGAGGTCTCTCCCCAAACCCTATGCTCCTCAGGTACACCCCCCCCAAATCTCCAGGAATTTCCCAACCCAGAATTGGCAGCTCTTCATTTGAATTTGTCTGATCACCTTTTGAAGCCACCAAAATGAGTAGCCATGGAAATAAGTTTTGAAAGTTAGATTATTTATTGCCAGAACAAGCCATCAAATCACAACCAAGTCATGGTGATGGTGACCCCACATTCACAGGGCTTTCCAGGCAAGAAATGAACAGAGGTGGTTTGCCACCGACTTCCTCCACATAGCATCCCGTCTTCTTTGGAGGTCTTTCGAGAGCTAACCGAGGCCAACCTTGTTTAGCTTCAAAGTTCTCACAGGCTTGAGCTAAGGTGGGCTACTCAGGCTGTTTTTATTAGGATCAGTTTATCTGTTACAAAGTAAGGCTCAAGCTAAGCTTTAAAGTGCCTTAGAACCCAAGTGGTTATTTGCAGTCTATTTTAAGTGTTACATTAGCCACCTAAGAAAAGAATTCTGGAACTAGAGGAAGATGATCAACTAATGTGACTTTACTTGCAGGAGTTCCATGCCATGAACAGTATAATCTTTAAAAATAAAATACACCTGGATGCCAATTACTCATTATTAGTAAGGCTACACAATGTGTGAAGCACTTCATCTTGCATCCCTCTCGTTTTGAAGAACTTGTGTGTGAGAAGGAATCTCACCGCAAGCCATTTAAAATTTCCAGAACAATTTCCAGAATTGTGGGAGCGGTGGCGCAGATGGTTAATGCCTGCTAGTAACAACTAGGAACAGCCACTATGGCTGTTCGAGAATCCACCGCGGCCGGGGTGAGCTCCTGGCCCTAGTCCCAGCTCCCGCCCACCCAGCGGCCTGAAAGCAATTAAATCAAGCGAGTAGGCAAATGGGTACCCACCCTTAGATGGGTGGGGGGCACCCTCCTCCGTTGAGGTGTGTGGTGGCGGCAGCACCTATGGCGGCAAGAACATCGGCAGCGGCAGAGCCTGGATGGTGAGGCGTGGTGGCGATGCAGCAACGAGAGCCAGCAGAGCAATCCCTGGTGGCCGGTACATCGAGCGGCAGACGACGGCGGAGGCGGAGACCAGAAAGACGCACAATGACATGTTTTGTGGGCACGGCAGAGCCGAATAGGATGGAGCCGAGGCCAGAGCGAGCATGGGCATGCACCAGGAACGGTCCCGCCAACGAAGCAGTCGTTCCAGGGGGACGCCAGAGACCACCGGAAAGAAATGCCGAGCCAGAAGCTACAACAGGTCCACCACTAGGGTGCAGGTAGGCAGTCCCACCCCTACATCATGTGGCCTTAGTCAGGGATTGAGTGTTCTTAGAACATACCATGTAAACCGCCCAGAGACCCTTCGGGGTTAGGGCGGTATAGTAAGTCGAAATAATAATAATAATAATAATAATAATAATAATAATAAATATAAAGCTATGATGCACCACTTTTCATTTCAGATACTATTTGTGAGCCCTTTTATTCCTCCCCATTTTATTACTGGCATTCACAAGTTAAGAGTTCTGTACTTCAAAATCAACCAAAAGGAAAGGGGAGGGGAAACACTTGAAACCCAGTATGATAATTGTGAAGCAAGCATCAGGAAACTCAAGAAAGTAATGTCAGTTATATCCGCTCTGAGCCTTTGGAAAAGGGCAGAATAGAAATCTAATATATAAATAAATAGGGTAAAAGGGGGTATGGGGAATTCATTCACTCCAACCCAGGTATACACTTGTGCTTCTGGAAATGCGAATACAGTAAAGGTTTTTAAAATGTTGGAATTTGGGTGACATTGGTGGTTTAAGTTGCAATGTGAACCTTAAGGGGAGTTATGGGATGGTTGTGAATGGTTGTGTGAGTGTATATGAGTATGGTTCACTGAAATGATTGCATCTTTAATTTCGTTGTACTATGTACAATGACAATAAAGTATATTATTATTATTAACATGTACCTCAGGGGCAGACTCTTGTTATCCTTCCTACCATTTTTTTTTTTTGCGAGAGTGACATTCCAGAGCCAGTTTGGTGTAGTGGTTAAGAGCGACACTCTAATCTGGAGAACCGGGTTTGATTCCCCACTCCTCCAAATAAAGCCTGCTGGATGACCTTGGGTCAATCACAGCTCTCTCAGAACTCTCAGCCCCACCTACCTCACAGGGTGTCTGTGGTGGGGAGAGGAAGGGAATGGTAAGCTGCTCTGAGACTCCTTCAGGTGGTAAAAAAGGTAAAGTTTTCCACTGCTCAAAAAGCCAGTCAAGTCCGACTCTAGGGGGGCGGTACTCATCTCCGTTTCCAAGCTGAAGAGCCAGTGCTGTCCGAAGATGTTTCCGTGGTCGTGTGGCCAACATGATTAAAGCAGGGTACAAAAACCAACTCTTCTTCTGTATCTATCACCAAAAGGGACAGGTTAGGTGTAGCCCTACCTGAAAGGGAAATGCCTCTTTAAAGGCACACAGACAGGAGGAAACTAGAAGATTCCAGGAACGCCGCCAGGTCAATGACTTTCTATTCCACCTCTCAAAGAACATGGCAATCAGTGAAGCAAACATGACACAAGAGCCATCATAAAATAGTTTTATACAGATTATGAGATCCCAATGTACACATAAAACAAAACGTACACACACGCAGATGAGATTTGTTGGTGTGGGAAAAGATACAAAGTTGTCATCAGCTACACCAACTGAGTGTCATTCTCCATTCAAGTGCCTCCCTGCAAAAATCTGTTTTCAAAAGGCACACTGTGCGTGGATCGAAGATCAGTGAGAAAGGGTACAGAAAAGCAGCTGCAGGAGGCTACACTTTGGTGCCAGAGAGGCAGACACTGAGATGGGAAGGCAAACGGGTACAAAGGGCTTGGGCAGGTGCCGTTTCATCCATCTAAAAGCTGTACATCAGTTGCTGCCACAAAGAGGCTGCCCGGTCCCCATTAGCGAGGCAGAATCTGCCTCGCAGTTGCAGTACTAGCCAATTTTTGAACAAGCTCCTTAAGCAAGTGAAAGGGCCCACTGTGATGCTCAACCACCACTTATTGCTTGATAAAGAAGGTTGTGGGGAAATGGTGGGGGAGAAATCCCCAAGGCCTGAAACATGGCAGGAGGAATAAATGTTTGGAAAAGGTTTGGAGATGGTCATCTACATTATTATTTTTTAATTTTAAAAGAAAGCCTACATAGCTCCAGATAGTAAAAAAAAAAAAAAAAACCACCCTGAAGATCAATTAAGGCAGAATGTGTCTGGGGTAATGTCACAGAAACCCACAATGGGCCCAAGGATAGATGGGTCTAACCTCAAGCAGTTATTAACAGGCTCAGGCACTTGGTTTCCTACCTCATTTTTATGACCCAGAATTTAATTATCTTAAAATCCTGTTCATAGAATTCTCTTCCCCACATTTTAGCCTCGAAAACACCTTGTGAGGTAGGTTAGCAAAAAACCCCCCCAAAAAACAGCAACTAGCCCGAGGCCATGCCATGAGCTTCATGGCTAAGTAGGGATTTCTGAACCCAGATGTTGCTAGTCTAAATCCAATAGGGTAGCCGTCACACTGCACTTACTCGCAAAATCTACGAGACAGAGCAGATTTTAAAATGCAGAAAATTGGCCCCACACTATACTGATTCAATAATTTTAAATTTAAAGTAACGAAGGCTGGAATACAACTGTACAGTTTAAGTGTGTGCCTAAATATCATATGACTGTAGTTGTTGTTGTTCAGTCACACAGTTGAGTCCGACTCTTCACAACCCCAGCTAAAGTGGCAAACTTATTCTATCATAACTGCTGGAAACTAATGCCCAAGTTCAAAGCCAAACTTGACATTTCCGAAGGGAGGCTAAAGGTTATTAGGAAAATCTTTTTTTTAGAATCCCTAAACCACGGGACAAAGCTGCCAAGGCATATCAAAGACTCACACTGTTGGCAAGCTGGGAATCATCTTGTTAGATAGTTTACTTTTAGGCTTGGGGCACCACAGAGAATCTCATTTGTGTTTCTGATTCTGACGTGGAGATAAAATGTACAAGCCACCACCAACCCAAGAGACCAGGAGAGGAGCTCCAAAACACAAATAAATAGACACTTGCTTGTTCTGGGCAGAGTTCAGACTCGTTAAGGAACAGCTCCTTTGCAAGCATGTACTGGGGTGGGGAGCAGTGTTCCCTCTAAGCTGAGTTAGTGTGAACTAGCTCAAAGTTTTTTAGCCTCGGGCGCACACATTTTTATCTTAGCACAGGAAAGATGTCTCCAGAGCAAACTGATTTATGCAGTAGCCAAATCGCTCACTCACAACTTTAATCCCAGTAGCTCACAAAGTAGAATTTTTGCTCACAAAACTTCACAGCCTAGAAGGAGCATTGGCGGGGAGGGGAGAAAACCAAAGACAAGAATCCAACATACGCTATGGGGAAAGAGTCCATTCTCTGGTCAAAAACCAACATGTCTTCTGTCCTTGCCAGCTAGCATTCTGGAGAAATTACTTCAATCCCATTAATAGAGAGCCAATCCTCATTCTTTAGCAAATTACCTTCATGGCTTGCCAAGGTTAATAATTCACTCAACTGAATCCAGTTTTCTCCCTCAATAAACCAAGATTGTAAAAATGTGGTTTGTTTTTTTAAAATGGCACAGGCGAAGAGCTGATCTAAGGCAGATTTTGTGGCCCAACAGCTACTCTGCAACAGCTTCTCACACTTCCCACTACATACAAGCCCCACCTACCCCCAAACCAAAGTGCTTTCAAAAAAGGCTAGACAGACATGTTCCTCAGATCCTGTGACAAAAACCACTACACAGCCTCTATCCCAAAATAGGACCGCTGCATGGTTTGGACACAGAACAACTGAACAGCAAGATGTCAACAGAAGAACTGAGATCTGTAGTAACAAACTCAGGCTGGTGAGAGGATGGTGGGGAAGTTTTTCTTAAGTGGCCCTATGAACTGTCAAAGTAGTGTCTAGGTTAAATTTATTATTAAAAGGCCATTTAAAAAAAATTCCAGACTACAACTGCACAAGAAAGCTGACCCCAAAAAACGAGCCAACAAAAAAAAATCTCATTTGGCACCAGTTTGGGAAATCCGGCTCTTAGTTATGGTATGAGTTAATATTAGACAGACCAAAAGTTATCCTGTTAAGTGCAGAAATGCACCTTTTGCTATTCTACATTCTCACGTAGAAAACTGTAGATATTCTGAAGCAGTATTTGTGCAAGAGAATTCAAACAAAACAAACATATTGGTTTTATTTTGCACAGGCTGCAGCCTCAACCAGAGATTCTCACATCTGGATACAACAATCCTCCTGTCCTGTTTTCTTTGTGGCACGTGACCTGCCAATATTATCTAATTTGAAGTCCTTATTTAGAAGGAGATGTTTAAATGCTTCCGAGAAGGCAGCAAGACTGTGGGACTTGAACAAAGGCAGAAGTGAAAGAGGTTCTGAAGCCACCTTTATGGCGTTGTAACAGCTTATAGAAAATCATGGTCACTACAATGCATTCCTTAGGCAAAAAAAATAAATGCAGAAGTGCTACAAAGGTGGCTACCAGCAGCGGCTCTGCTTCCCTGGAGTGGATTGCAAGCAACCACGCTGCCAATACCAGCTCTGAAAGAGCCCCAATTCAAGATTCCCACTGGAAAAGTTTCCAGTGGCAGAGCAGAGCTTCCTTGTGCATAAATAGGAATGAGAGTGATCCACAGAGGTCCTGGCTCCAGAGGTCATGTGATCTAGGTCCGTCACTTGAGAAATGCTTAGTGTTGCAGCATCTGTCTCTGCAGGGAGCCTCCCCTGCCAGCAGGTGGGTCAGTGTTTGCTGGAGTAAAGTGTTTCCTCCTCAGTGTCTGTTTCGTCCTGGAATTCATGGCTCAGAAGGGACTTCTTAGATCCTGTGGACATCATACGGATCTCATCCTCATAGTCATCGTGGTGCTGCCGTAGGCGGTGGAAACCATCCTTGTGCCGGTTGGACTTGATGGAACAGACGCACCAGATGATGCAGGCTGTGAGAAGCAGGGCCGACATGGTGGCACCTAGACAAAACATACGTACTTGTCAAGGCCCTTGCCAACACAAGGCATTTTCCCTTCCATATTCCCCTGCCCCAGCTCCTCCTCATTCTCTGCCAATTGCATTTTTATCCAACCCTTATTGTGAAGCGTGAAGTAAACTGTTGAGGAGCTTCCGCTGGGAAAGCCTGGCTATTTATGTCAATGTAGGTTGTTTCAATTTTTATTGCAACTAGTTGTCACCTGCGTGAGTCTTAGGAGAGAGGTGGATATAAGTGTTTTGAACATATAAGGGTTCCTTTGCTGCCACAGATACATGCTCACCAATCCTGGCTTCAGATATCTGCATTATTCAAGTATTTATCAGGTACATATGTTACATTTGTGTATAAATACATATACTATTTTACAGACATGCGGAGCATGAAGCGGTGGTTTGGTAAAGCCCACGGCATGCCCGGTGTGAGAGCAATGTGGAAGACTTAGGAAAAGAGGGTGGCTCAAGACCTATGGACCAGCATGGTGGAACAGTCTATTGGCCTGGCTTGTAAGATCTTCATTGTCCAAGAAAAAGCAGTGTGGCCCCTTACCTGCTACTGTGACCACCAACTCCCTGGGAAGACCAAAAATCCTGTTGTCCATATCAAATTGGATGTGCACGAAAGTAGCAACGTCATGGTGAACTAAGACCTGAGGATTAGCAGTAAAATGTTTAAGAATACTGTAGATGCATGTGAAGGTCGAGTTGGGGGTAGGGAGAAGCTACACTGGGCAGCAACACAGGCTTCAGCAGCAAAGATCATATTGGAGAGGGAGCTTGCTTTCAAATTACGGGATAAACCAAGTTAAGGTGTGGAGGGAAGAAGGGGGAGAGAAATCTGCAGTTACAAAAGGATTGTAGTGTAGGTCAATAATCAGAACTGAAAGCCCTGGAGAGAGCCATCTGTTGTAGTCACTAAAAGCGTGACTTATGTAAACATGCTTCCTGGGGGGAGGGGGGCCCCTCATCAGGGATGTGAGACCATAGAGCCCGCCCTCTGAAAGCTGCCATTTCCTTCAGGGGAACTATCTCTGTACCCTGGAGATTAGCTGCAATTCAGGGAAGACTCCAGGCTCCACCTTGATGTTGGTAACCGTAAGTGTCATAAGGTCATCAAAAGAGCCTTTCTGGATCAGTTCAGTGGTACATCTAGTCCCACTAGCCCTGCTGTTTCCTACAGTGGCTAGCCAGATGTCCCAGAATGCTTCCATATCAACCCAGCTTCCATATCAACCCAGCCAAACCCAGCAACTAGCAATCAGCAGTATGCTACCACTGAACACGGAGGTCCCATTTAGCCCCTATGGCTAATAGCCATTCATGTGGGCATCCTTCATGAATGAGCCACATTGGGCTAAGGAGGTGTCCGGGGTTGGCATCCCGCCCCCACCCTCAGGGGACTGTAAGCCCCACCAAAAGTGTGCTGCACTTGAAGCTGGGGGAAGTTGTCTGCCAGGTTGCAGTAGGGCGTGGCCTTGACTGCGTCTACTTGGGAGTCAGCCAGCTTGAAGGAGCCCAGCCGGCTCTCAGTGGCATGCTCAGCAGCAGAAGCCAACCCAGCCCAGTTTCTACCAGAGATGGCCTTGGCACTGAGACCCAGGGGAGCTCTGCCGGGGGGGCAGGGACAGCAGGCAGCACTGACCTTAGAGGAAGTTGAGCAGGACAACCAGCTCTTTAAAGAAGTTCAGGGGGAACGGGCCAGGAAGCTCATTAATCCAAGACAAGTATCCATTGGCCCAGGAGCTTTTCACTCCCCAGGACTGGGTTGGAGAGAGAGGACTGGCTGAGCCCAGGGTTGGCCCTCCCTTGGGGAAGCATTTGAAAGGTGTACCCAGGAGCAGCCAGGGAGGAAGAGCCAGACCCATTCCCCGGCAGGTGGGAATAGGTACTTGACATAGCAGTGTGGGGAAACTGGGGGAAAGGAAACCCCCTCTTCTTGCTCTTATTCTGAGGCTCTATCCTAGGGCACTCGCCCAACAAAAAACAACTCTGGAGGATGAGACAGCTCTGGACTCAGACCCAGCTCCAGCAGATCCTGACAAGTGGAAAGCTGGGATAAGAATATTTTAAATAAACGTTTGCCTAACCCCTTCAAATTCAGATGGATGGACTCTGGAACATATAAACTTATGCTTCATTAAATGTTGGTCTCTAAAAGGTGCCATCATTTCAAATATGTTGGAAAAACAAGTTCTCTACCAAGCAGATACTTAAGGGCCCCATCCATATTTTAAATGAGAAATATCCATTCAACCCCAAACTAAAAAGCCTTCTTAGTTAAAATGGAACTGGAAGCATCAGAAATGGTTCCTGCTGCTTTAGGTAGGTAACGGTTCATAAATGAGAAAAGACCATGAGCTCGATAAAAACAAGGGCACCCAGTGGCCAGCCCTGAAGATGGCAGTGGGTATGAGTGCTATCAAGTGCACTGGGGGACCCTTAAGTGTTGGGTAGGAATCCCCAGGTTTTTTGTTCAACACCTTTAGCTGAAGCACTCCAAAGAAGAACCTCTCCTCTCCCCAGGCTACCTCCGACCCAGTGACAGTGGTTGGAGAGCATGTGCACTTTTTTTCTTGCAACTGCACCTCCATTCCCATTATTCCCTGCAACCCACTCAGCTAGTTCAGCTCCTTACAGAGCTTCTTTTGCACCTCAGTCAATGAATTTTGCAAGCCCCTTCTCATCCCAAAAGTGCAAAGCCCCTCCTCCCTCTGCCAACACCAGCTGCAGTTGCTCCCACACCCCAGGATAGTCACGTGGTTGCCATCACATGGCCCCTGGCTCCCAATCCCTTCTTTTGTGGGGAGCCATCCGTTATTTTTTTCTTTAAGTAATCACGGCCAGACACTTATTCTGCTGCATTTCTTCCCTTGTCTCTACACCTTGACCCAGAGCAGTTCAGCCTTTACTTCTACCAGGTCTGAAGGAGAAGGCTGCGGAACACCCATCTTCCGTACCTGGATGTGCTGCTGCTGATAACCATCGGCCTTGGCATGAAGATTGTGGTAGCCAGGAGTCAGCAACACATGGAAATAGCCACCTTCCTTGGTGCTGACTTTCACCCGTTCATTCAGCACAATTTCAACTTTCGAAACTGGTCTTCCGTGCCTGTCTTGGACCAGCCCATAGATTCCCTTGTGAACCTGAAATAAAAAAGACAGCCAGTAAGCAGCATCCATCTCAACAGCACCTTGTCTGTACAAGGCCAATCACAGAGAAAGATGTGCAAAAATTCAGCACGACTCCAGAGGGAGTGGTCCCTGATGTTACAGTTAGATTTGTTTCTTGCCCTACCCCCCAAGGACTTGGGACTTGTTACAATTCGGTTCGTTGCATGCTGTCCTTCTACAAAACCTGGGGGTATGATAAGCTTCAAGAGAACAATTTACTGCAGGGTGCCCAGCCAGCCACAGAGGCAAGCAACAATTTGAACTGGAGACTGCCTCATTCCAAATCTAAGCTTATCCACCACCTTCCATAGGCTGGGCCCAAGCACTAATGCAATGAAATCTCATTCGACTTCTGCTCCATTTTGAGCCATTCCATACATCCTGTCTGGGCATATCTCGCCAGAACTCACCTCAACAAGCATGGCAAGAAGAGATTTCTTGTTCTCTACCCACAGAGCAGGGAGCTGTCCTGCGGCTGGGAAGTAACAGCAGCCAGTGTACACTGTAATCTCTGGGCAATGCCCATATGCAACACTGAAATCCTGAAAAGCCAAACAGGAAAGTAAAAATTAAATTATTATTTATTTATTTTATTTTATTCCATTTATACCCCGCCCTCCCCGCTAAATCCCAAAAGGGATTAACTGGAAAAAGTCCAGCTGAAGTGTTAAGTACAAGAACTGAATAACTGTTCTGAAATACCTTCATGCTGCCCAAGTGACTGTGCCACTCTGCCCCAAGCATCACTCCTCCTGGAATGTTTTCATCTGCAAAGACGATGAGGAATCAGAAGCCCTCAATGAACAACAAGCCCACCCTGAAATGACCCATAATATGTTCTCAATCTGCAAAGCCCACCCTGAAATGGCCCATAATATGTTCTCATCTGCAAAGACGATGAGGAATCAGAAGCCCTCAATGAACAACAAGCCCACCCTGAAATGGCCCATAATAACGTAGGAACATACCTGATCTGTTTGGACAGCTGGACTGGCCAAGGTACATTGTGGGATGGTTGGTTGCATACAGAGATGCCAAATGTTTCAGGGTCTCTTTGTTCTCAACTGAAGAAAACAAAGTCAGCAAGACCGTCAAAGAAAGTAGGATCACTGAAGTGTACATTTTAGTCTACTTGGGCAGAGAGCGAACATCAGCTTCCCCGATTTTGCTGCCCTACGCAACTAGAAGCCCATTTGCTTCAGCTTACCAAATAGTAAGGCAAACTAGTTTAAACAAAACATTTGGCAAAGGAGCCCGAGGAAGACAAAAGCTATACCTGTCTGCACCGGCTTGTCGTAGGGGTAAGTAACAAGCAGGGACCCTCCGTCCAAGGCAACAGAGAGGCTGAAGTCTTCCTTCATTATCAGGTTCTCGATGATGGCCTTGGTTTCTGGTTCTCGTGCACCAGACTGCTGGGAGGAATTACCTAACAAAAGAACAGATGCTGAGGTTCTTAAGAGGCAGAGGGGTGCAACCCATACAGGCTTGCCTCAGGGGGGGGGGGGTGCTGGTGAGTGACAGCCAATTCCGTGCACGCCCTTTATTGTTCATTCTGCGGGGCCACTGCCACGGCATTTAACCACCTCACAGTCAAGCCACAACAAGGCACAGCAAACAGCCAGATGTCAATGCAAGTATTCTCTTGCACACAAAAGCGACTAGCCATGCAGGATGGTCAAGGGTGGCTCTCTGCATCAGAAGAGGAACTCCCTTCCCTGGGAAAGAGGAAAAGATTTGGTATGCTTTACTTGTGAAATCAGTATCCAGATCTTTGCCATGTGCATTGGTTTGCCCTATCTTCGAAGCACAGTCTCTCTCCTGAGCAATCTCACGACCATCTGGGTTCAGGGAGGGCACGATCACAATTCTTGTCTTGTCGATCAGCTGGAAACACACATAGAGTTGGTAAGACAAAAAGCAACTTGCCAAGCATACAGATGCCTCCCCGCCCCTCCTCTGACTCTGTACCACACAGGAATACGAATAATTCTTCACACAGTATCAGGAGTCCACGATCTAGTAAGGGAGGGTAAAAAAAGGGCAGGGCACTTTCACAAAGGGGTGTGCTCGTCCTTCATAAAGTGCTCTTTGAAACTGCTGATGCGTTTGGTTGCACGATTTTATTTGCCTAGAAAGGAGAACTACTCTACAAGAGGGATCGGGTTGATACCTTTTCCTTATGAGATATTTAGAAGCATCAGAATATAGCTATGTTTTTATGTCTGGTGCTTTGCCAGCAGCCCCCACCCCCCGTAGCAGAGCCTGGGAACTATCTTTTGCATTTGGCAGCTCTTTGGACTGCTCCAGAAACTCTTGTCAGTTTCTGACATTCATTTTATTTGAAGCTACACCCTAGACTGCACTCAAACTTCATGCTGCAGAAGAAATTGTGCTTTTATTACATATCTCAGACCTCCTGGCCCTTCTGCATTTGTATTTTGGACTTTCTGATTTAAACTTTGTAATTTATATTTAATTTTTTTTTAAAAAATGAAATATGTAGAACTAGAAACATAATGAAGTCATAACTGTACATACCACATACTCTAAAGCTCAGCCAAGTTTAATTATGAAAATAACTCTAATTAGTGGCCCTTAAAATGCCCTTTTACCTTTGTGACAGCCAGATTCTTTTTGTAGTTCATGCAGAGGAATTCTGCCAGTGCCAAAAGCAGTTCTGTGCCAACTGGAGCATTGCCATGGATGCCAGCAACAAAACGGATCTTTGGCTCCTCTGGTTCAGATTGGTTGGGTTTGTTGGAGATTTCCAGGGACCAGATCTGACGAAACTCAACACTCTGGCCCAAACTGCCAAGACAAAGGAGACCTGAAGTACTGGCTTTTTAAACAGGACAAGGTCTCAAAAGATTCACAGTGCCATCCTAAGGGCTGAGAACGGTATAGTTCCACTTAGGCAGGATCTTTTCCTATATTACCAGGATAATATTTTTGCTTCTCCTCACATTTTAAAGTATCTTGTCAGGACTAAACATTCAAAATGGCTATTAGATACACAGTTTAAACCCACAAAAACACACATGGCTGTGTGTATGCCATAATTCTACAGTCATATGAAACATAATACTCAGCACAGAATTGTTGCGTTTGTAAATAAGCTCTTGCAGCTGCAGAGAGATTTTAAGCTGCACAGGGAAATGTCAGAGAGGTGGCTGAACAACACAGTAGGGAGGATAGTGTCCTGTACAGCCCCTTCCCACAAAAGCAGAAGTTGGTACATAAAGTAAGAGAATCCATTCATGTTTGCATTCAGGCCTCAAAATTCTGCATTCCATGATGCAGAACCTTAAGGGTTTTGTTTAGCATTGAAAGCACACAGCCCCAGCAATAGGGCTATTCCGATGCTCCTTTTCAGACCTACATATGCAACAGACTCTGGTTGTTGTTTTCTAGAACAAAGAGCACAATTTACCTAGTGAGATTTGTGATCAGAGGGTAATTCAGGTTTAGGCCTCGAAGGAACATGGACAGATCTTTGTAGGGTCGGTACCGATAAGGAAGGACATCTGCCGTGGAAGTCAGCAAGAGGTGTTCTAGCCCATTCTCAGCCGAGAGGTTTTTGATCAGCATCTCAAACTCCTTGGTAATTGGGTCGCTGGCATCTGCCATGTTAATGTCAGGCATTTTCCCCTCCTCCATTTTGGAATCTTTCCGGGTCAAAGTGAAGTTGACTTGCACTGCGGATTTGTCACCTACTTTCACGATCTTTGTTTCTGAATTATATCTTTATGAAAGAGGGAAAGAAAGGTGTTTTTTTTAAAAAACAACAACATATGAACGTTCAGGTGAGCTTCTGACACTAACAATGTTCTCTGATAAGACAATGTGAACATTGGCTTATAGGCTGCTGGAAAAGACTTATTCCTTCATCAGTCATTTGGATAATAGTTATAATGAATAGCTGAGAGACTGAGCTGGGAACTGGGGAATTTCTGGTTCAGATCTCACCTGCACTGTAGACTCACTAGCCTCAGCTCACCATCTGGAATATGGGATGATAAATAATAATAATGGCTAACAAATTCAGGGCTGTTGTTAGGATCACTGTTCACAAAGTACATCAAGCACTCAGTAGCTACAGAAGTGCCAAACACTGTTTTTAAAGTAGCCACATAAAGCACACACACACACACAACTTTTGGGAACTATCAGGATATTATTATCTATGCAAAGCAGCAATAGACATACAATAAGCTGCTTAGCCAGTGCATAGAATGGTGGATCTGGGAGACCTGGGGTTAAGCCCCATCTCTGCCATCAATCCTTTAGCCCGGCCAGTCTCAGAAACAGCTCTCCATCTGTAACACAGAACAGCAGTGACACAGCATGGGATTGTTCACAGCTAATGAAGGCCGTGAAAGGAGTTGACAATTGAAAGTACCATCTAAAGCATGCTAGCCCTGCTGGATAATAATGGACACAACTGAGGGCGCCTGATTTCTTTCTGGAACTGACAGCATCAGAGTCCCCAGCACTGTCCTGATTTACTGGAACATTTCAGGAAATAAGACACTTAAGAGGGCAAGGTATTATCAACATCCTACCCTCGTTCCCTTTTCTGCCTTGCTTCATTTCCTGTCTCAACTACCTATGTCGATGTCGCTCATAAGCCTACTGAAAAGAATGAACTGAAGCACTGACTGATGCTTGTATCAAAGCGGAAAACAGCAGGCCAGCCATGTGCAGAAACGCTAGGGAAAGCATGTGAGCCAGGAAGGCAAGTATTGCCATCTGACCGGCAGATGGTGCTGCAGGCTGAAATTCAACTACTACCAAGCAAAGCCATAAAGCAGTAGCAGTATTTTAATAGCTTTGGCTGAAATGTCCCTGAACCTGCCAAACAAGTCCCTGGGTGCTCTGCTGATCCTCAGGTTATCTGCTAGAGTTGTACACCACGGATTCAGTTCCATTCAACAACTTCTTACAATATCCAGCCCCTCTCCCTCCTTCAAAAGAGACCGTCTCCTTACAGCTGCTTATAACCTCTCACACTCTTCTCATATGAGGAAAGCATTTAACCATGTGGTCCCAAGGAGACCCTAACAGGCTTATTCTGCTCTAAATTGTGTCAGCTAGGAATGTAACCTCCATGATGTTAAGAGACACTATACCTCCAAATCACCAGCTACTTGGGAAGGGCTGTTTCTCATCATGTCCTGACTGCGAACTTCCAATCACATCTGGCTGGTCACTGCTGGCAACAGAAAACTAGCCTAAATGGACTTTCCCAGCCTGATCCAGCAAAGGCCGTTCTTGATGTCTTCATGAGCAGCAAAATAATTCTGAAGAATTGCCCCAGGCAATCACGGAGATTGGCAGGAATAAGGCAGAGCAAGGAGCACAAAAGAAGCCTCAGTGGCATCTTTTATTGGACCTGCTCTTATTTCTTTTCAGATAGTATGACTTTTGTCATGATTTGGTTTAACAGCATACATAAGACATTTCCTAAAGGGTAACAGCCTCCACTTGACACCTGAAAATATTCTGATTGTTGGGAGCTTCCTATCACAAGCAATGTGTGTAGGTTTTTCAAAAACTGACTGATGTGTGGGATTGACAAACCAAAGCTCTGCATCAAAAGGGGTGCTGTTCTTTACTGAGCCCACAGTATAAACCCACGAACAACAGGAGCCCTGCCCATCTCTCTAGGCAATGTAAGCAACTCACAGCAGCAAAAGATCATACAAGTTTTGTGCTTGAATACTCACCCTCGGGCCGACACTGTGATCTTGTAAGTGCCCTGGGCCAACAGGCGCCAATAGTCTCCACCCGTATAAGTAGAAACAGGGTGATCGATGTTGGCAATGCTGATGGTTGCATTTAAGATGCCCTGTCCATCTGTGGCATCCAACACAAAGCCTTTGACACCCCGGTGAACCTAGATGACAAGAGGAACTATGAAATTCTACAAGTAGGTTCAGCATAGCCATGGTCATTTGTCTAATCTGTATCTGTTCATCAATCCAAAATCTATCAGAAAGAAAAAGGAGTGCAGCAGAGACTCCAGTCAAAGGAACTGCCTTGTTTAGAAGACGCTTATCAGCTCTAGGCAGATAGAATGAAACATAAGACAAACCTCTTCATGTTCAAAAGATACTCGAGATATGTATGCCATTGTTTTCTGGCCTAGGCCATTTCAAAATCTTTGGAACAAGTTACTATAACAATCAACAACAATCAACACTTAAAGGTCTACTGAAACTTAATTCCTAGTTTAAGGTTCATCCCTGGTCACAAGAAGGGAAACTTCACAGAAAGAACTGGGAGTACTTCTAGAAAAGGTTCTAGTTTTGAAGAGTCTCCTAAAACAGCCACCAAATAATATTCCACACGATCCTGGTTATCCCAATAACGGATGGAATAATTGAGAGGGTGCTTTTCAAAGACAAAGGAGATCAGAGATACAGCAAGTGAGAACTATTAAAGAAATGCAGACATCAAGCCATTAAGAGATTTAGCTTTCTGATTTGTCCACTTGTGTATCCAAACAAAGTACCCAAAAGATACATACAATGGAAGATGAGCCCACCAAGTGGCAGAATTCACAAGAAGAGAGAGATGCTGAGAAAATGTTTCCCTTGTTTCAGGGGAATTTACTCATTTCAGGGGATTTACTCATTCACAGAAGAGATCCAGCAACAGATTCTGAAATTGGAGTTGGTGACTAGGTACCAACGGAACCATGATATCAACAAAGGCACTTGGAGAATGTCAGGTAATATAATACTGGCTTAAGCTTTAAGAACTGTTTTCTCTCGACAGTGGACACCATTGTTTATTGCCAAATATATAGTCAAGAGAAGGATACAGCAAAGACGTATGGGCTAGGAGGCTTACATGAGACCTTGAAAGGTTCTGTAGAGGAAGAAACTGTTTGCAGCAGCACTGAAGACCACTCCTTATCCCTAGCGGTTACACCTCACCTGCTTAATGAACTGCAGGAGAGACTTGCGATTCTGCTCCCAATACCTGGGCAACTCTTCTGCCTTGGGGTATTTGACACAGCCCAGCTCAATGGTCAATTCAAAGCAATTTGTGTTTAAATAATTCCAGTCCTGCATTCCGCCTGAAAAAAAAAAAATCAGAACAGCTGTCAGAAACTGCTGCTGCTTAACAACAACAGGTTTTGAGGAATCCTACACAGGAGAAATTGCAACCCTAAGTCCCAAAGACTTGTGCAACCCGAGTTGCAAAATAGTTGCCTTGAGTCTGTGAACCTGAACAACACACACTGTCTCAGGGCAAATGAAACTTCTTAGGTAAAGACATCACAGCTTGGATTTCAGAGAGCTGGAAAAAGAGATAAGTAAGACTGTGTTCTCTTAAAATATTTATTTTACCACTTCTGTCTCTTTCTATAAACACATGGCAACAAATTCAC